CACACACTCAAAAATAACCATATGCTCTTCCCAGTAAAAACCCACCATTTTTACCCCTGGTAATATGCATCGGCAGGTATTGGTACAAGGTATTGGCAGATACTTGAGCATCAGGTGTCGGTATCGGCAGGGAAAAAGTAGTTTTAGTTTTTTAAAGCCATATTTTAATACCTATATGTAATGCAATTTTGTGCAGCCTAATCCTAAACCTAACACCAATCATAACCTCAGTAACCAAAAAGAAACGGTTTAGCCAAAATGAAGCATCAATGTAAAATCAGGATCCTTTTTTTCTCTGCTTTACCCTTAAGTCAGGACATCTGAAGTGATGTGTGATATGCTGCCTACAGGGCAAACCCTGAGAATTAGATCACAATTATTTTAAAGAGAAAAAGCAAAGGTCAGAGAGGATAAATGCGAGTGCGTGAGATCCAGCCCATCACCTGAGCGTGTGTAAATCAAACCTGTCACTGTGCCACATCTCTGATTAAAGTGATGGATGCGCTGCCAGCTTTTACTCTGTGTATCTGTGTGAACAGCTCTGGACAGACTAAGCAGGAGAAGAGTGGATGCGTGTGTGTGTGTGTATGTGTGTGTGTGTGAGACTGACAGCTGAGGAGCCTGGTGAGGGTCTCTGAGAGTAAGCTAAACAGCAGGCTAACAGCAGTGATGATGCAGTCGTGCACACTCTGTGACTCATTTACTCTGCTGATGAAAATAAGGCCAGCAATCTGTTGTTAGTCCTGATGTAAAATAAATAAGTTTCTGCTCTTGAATGTGAAAAATATAGAAAATTCAAACACATTAAAAATGAAAGAGTGCACTTTAGATGCATTCTGCTTACCGACTCTTTTCTGAGTTGTTGCATCTATTTTTACTTCACCCAACCTGGCCTCATGGGACGTTAACGGCTCTGGACATTTTTTAAACAAAATTTAGTAAGTCAACCTTTGATTTCATAAAAAAGTCCTTGAATGTATACCAAGCAGCAGTAAGTTTCCTTTATAAAGAAAGAAAAGTAAGCAATCAAGGTTGCTCAGCTAGGTTAAATGAGCACTTCTTGACCTTCCACACCAAATTAGATGCTTTGAAACAACTGAACAGCCTTTTCATCTAGTCTAGCATGTATTCAAATGATAAAGAGAAATTATGGATTTCACACAAGTACACTGCATCTAGATCTCTTGCACAAATACATTTAGGTTCTCATTTTAGCTGTAATGTGGTATTTCCACTAGTGCAGTGATGCATATACATAGGTATACTCCACTTCTGAGGAGAGTGAGTGAAAATAATTTACATTCTGATAACTTTCAATTTGAAGGTCAACAAAATTAATTTAAAACTGGCCAAGCAACATGTGGCAAGCAAATACTTCACATTTGTCCAATCAGCAGTCATATAACCAGCATGTTCTTTTACGTGTTGAAGCGTTTATTGCTTTGTTTTCTGGATGTTGTGCTCTACAACTCAAAAGTATGATGCTAGTTAGGTCGCACACAGCTAATCTATAGCAAAGAAAACATAAGGAGTGAATTTGAATGTGTGAAAAAGCACAAAATTGAGTATAATGGAAACAGTGATATCAACACCATCAAATCAGCTGCAGTCCAACAAACCATATTTAAGATCCATTAAGTTATTATATTCTCTTCATTCTTAAGGAAAGGTTCACACTGTGTTTTTGTAAAGGCAGAAACACAAAGTACAGCGCATTATCTTTTTTTCTTGGAGCTTTCCAATGGTGCTTCTGGCTTTAGTCACTGCTACAACAACACCGTAACTGTCAGTCAGCTGTGCTGGCAGGGTGTGGTTTCAAAATGTACAGGCAGAAAGTTTAACTAGTACTTTCAATTAGCCACTCTGTTGGGGCTAGCAAAAACAAGCTAAACTACACAAAATATGCTTTTTGTTTATGTCATTATTTCTATCCATGAAAGACTACAGCCACTAATTCCTCCTCCATTACAACCGTCAGTAAAGGCCTGGTCAGCTCAAAAAAATAAGAGTATGACGCAGGCTGTTTACTGCTTCAAATGAAATGTTTTTTGACTCAGGCCCAGCACTCTGCACAAAATACATTCAATATGAGGCACCAGCATGCAAAAAACAGTGAGCAAACTGTGTTTCTCCCTTTGAAAACAACTGGAAATAACCGCACCTGCAAAAAATGTGTACAGCATGAAGCTCCCTAATTTTTTTCCACTTGATACATGAGTAAATGTATCGTGTAATGGAACAGGATGTCCAACAAGCTCATATAGTTGTGATGGTTATGTGTCCACATACTTTTGGCCTTATAGAGTATATCCACTTCAAAATTAGTCATAACGTCTTTTGACTTTGTACTTTTGTAAATATGAACAAGAAAGTATGTCCTCATAGGTATAAACAACAAACTTATCCAGACACCTATCCACTACATTACTGGGTATTTCCAATCATGGCAACAAGTAAAAATTAATGGAAAGCACTCCACACACTGCTGCTTCCTCTGAAGTCTCCAACCAATCTGTAAACTCCAACTCCCATGATTCATTTAGTTCTGACATCATAGACACAAGCCCAACACAAACCAATCACAACCAGTTACACAGATCCTCTTCTCCTGAGTCCTAACTGCCTTCACCTGTTCTCATTATCTCTGTCTGTGTATTTATACCTGTTCAGTATCAGTTACTGCTGTACTTACATTAGCATGTCTTTTGCATACCGAGTGTTTTTCCTGTTTATGCCTCTTGTCTTATTTGACGCTTTTTGTTCCGCGTTTGCTCTTCTGGATTCTCCCTTTGACTTTGGTATTTTATTGTTTGTTTCTCTGGTCTTTGACCCTCACTTGTTTATTTACTTTGCTCTCTGGTTCCCCATGTACCTGTTTATTGCCCTCACGGTTCTGACCTGGCCTGGCTTATGGACTCCTCCTTTGCTTTGCCCGGTTGTACATAAAACCCACTTATTTTACTTCTGTGAGTGTCGGGTTCATCTGCCTAACGTTACAGCCACAGACCTCAAAGACCTCTCAGACGAAAAAGAAAAAAAAAAGTAAACTGATGTTATTACCTAAGTCTCACTATTATGATCTCAGCCAGATCCATTAGAAATCGAGTTGGGATGACAAGCTCTCGGCACATCAACAGAAAATGAACCAAATGGTAGCAGCTATATCAGGCAATATCGAGAGGTCTAAATGGTTTGCTCAGCTAGGAGATTTATGCCATTGCAAAGAATGCAATTTTGGTAAGTTACCATGCAGGCAGAAGTAACAATGCACAGCTCAGGGGCACAATATCCCACCAACTACACAAGCCCTGATCCGCTAGGCCTGGATTCTCATCTCTGTAATGGCCATTAGGCCATGTAAACGTACTGTACTAATCTCCTGACAGCATGAGAGATACATTTCTAGAAACTACTCTATGCATGCTCTAATGTTTTCTGTGTTTGGTTTCTGGAAATTAGTCTAACACATTACATGTATAACATTACAGAATCTGTGTATTATTACTCTATTAACAACATTTTGGGTGTACAACCTTTATGAAGTAGTAGTCTCACTGCTATGTACGTGGTCATCTGTAATGCAAAATGGAGAACTACTTAAACAACAGAACACAAGAAGGAGAGTGTAATCACAAATAACATCACGGTTGGGATTTGGTAGGAGGCACAAGCTGAAGGCGAGTACAGTAGATCATCACAGCCCTGATATTATTTGCAATAACTCATGACCTTGAGTGTTGTATTGCTTTTAACAACAGCTCTGCAAAATAAAGAAAAAAGTAAACCAAAGAAGCTCGGAACATTGCATATAATGTGTTTTATTATTGGGAACTGCTTCTGCAAAATAAGTCGTGCCCATTTGCTTACGTGATAGAGTCATAAAACTGTCGCAATATCAGGTTCAGCTCAGTTTTTCCAATCGTTGTCAGATTAACATGAATGTTGTTTTGATCTCGGCAGTCTGTAAAGCTATTCTGTATTCTGTTAATTTCTGGCAAATTCCAGTTTGTTTAGTTGCAGGTCAATTCTTATCTTGCAGAAGTAATCTAATGTACCATTTTCTGTTCTTGTAGGTACCAAAGCAGAACATTAGTAACAGTCAACTGCAGCGTAAAGCGGGTCACTAATTAGCAATCAGTGCTCAGTGGAACATTACAATTATTGGGAAAAATTGCTGTTTTCACATATAACAGCACAGACAGAACGCTTTCCAATCAGATTGAGCCGTCAGAACTAACTGTTACATAAATGTGCAATATACACTGTAAATTAGATTTGCTGTTTGAATTAAAAGGGCCCTTATCCTACATTTTCAAATTTTTCCACTTTTATCCTTTGGAATTAAACAGGCAGTTTCTGTTACTGTATCTTTAAATTTTTGTTACTGTGCCTTTGATATATGTAAATGAATTCTGATTGGCTGTCCTGTACCATGCACCTCACTCAAAAAGGAGTCCCTTGCTGAAACAAACCTTATAACTTCAAACTGAATGGGTTTGGCTAAACTGCCGTGGGTTAAATAGGTGGATATCTGTAAATGTGTTGGTTTTCATGACATCACAAAAAAAAAGAGTTCAAAAAAGAAGTTTCCATACATGGACTGTATGGACTGGGACGTGAGTGGTTCTAAAATTTTACCAATATTTCCAGACTACATCAAGCTGTTTTATACAGAAAAAGTGAGGAAAATTCTATTTTCTTGGCATACTCTTTTTGAGTTCACTGAACATCAGATAGTAAGTTAAAAAAATCTGTCTTTCATTCTGTTAACTTATAACTTATAGTTCAAAACGTTTAACATTTAAGGCAGCCAGGTAGCTGACTTAAATGAATCACTTTTTAGAATACAGCCAAATTATCTTAGAGAAAGTTGCTCAGCTTTTATGAGGATAAACTCTAGAAGATCCAGTAACTAAACTAAACTGTCTAACTTTCCTCTCCATATTTAGCAGCACTCTGTAAGAGAAAGAAGATAAGTAGAAATAATCAGGCTGTCCTACCAGTGAGTGGGTGAATTCGGGCGCATGATCGTTCCTGTCTGTGATGGTGATGGTGGCGGTGGCAGTTCCTGTCAGCCCCACCTCACTTCCTGCCATGTCCTTAGCAACAATCTCCAGCTCATATTGTGTGGTGGGCAGAGTCTGCAGGGAAAAGAACACAAACAAAAATAGTTTTTACTCAAGTTACCAGACAAATGTGAAGACATTTTAGGCCTGTATTGAGAAGGAGCGCTGTAAGGGTTACGGTAAGGGTTAACTGGTTTCGAGTGTGCTGATTTGACATCAAGTAATTCTTCAATCATTGCTGATTTACAACCAGTTAAGTGTTGTCAATAAGCAATAAAAACAATTACGTGTGTTCTGAAAAGGCATTTACACTTTCAATCATCTGATGAAAACAAGGGCAATTAAACAGTAATCAAGAAATCATTTCATTGACTTGTCACCCCCTCCCTTCAAGAAAAAAAACACTTTCTGTAGCTAGAGAAAAGTGAAATTGAGCAGTTCACTGCGACAGGCAGCTCAGCTCGTCCTTAAACCACAAAGTTTCATTAATGGACGCCGACAGACAGACGAGCCACAAGACTGAGATTTCCTTTGCATTGATTTGCAGTCACTCAGCTTGGATTGTGCAAAGGCTTGGTAAAGGAGCAGGGCTGCTGTGGCTTTGATTTGTGTAAAGGCCTATGATATTGTAGTGGGGGAAATCTATGCAGGGCTACCAGTCAAGCCAGAAAGAAATGTCAGGGCTCAAATCCTTCAATCATTACAGAAAGAATATACAAGTTAAAGGGCCAATATTCTACATTTTCAGTCTCACTTTATTTAGATAGTCCACTATAGATTGTCTACAGATGTTCAAATTGCTAACAAACTATCTGTTGAAAACCAGTTGATTCTAAACAGTGGTGGGGTTAGTGTTAGGGTTTGGATCAGGGTTAGGGCTAGGACCAGGGTGAGGGTTGGGTTGAGGCTAAAGTTAGGGTTAGGATTAGAGCCGGATTTAGAGTTAAAGAAAATTATGGTAAATTTAGTAGATATTTAGTTGAATGTAACTAGAAAGTAAATATCTACAAAGCATCTAAAGTGGACCGTCCAAATAAAGTGTTAGCCATTTTTCTTGGTCATGTGTTTTTTTTTTTTTTGTTCCCTGAAGTCCATGTGTAATAATGTAGCGCCTGCTACTGGCCGAGAGAGGCTCAGAATGTGTGGCCATGTAGAGCCCATGTGAAGAGGCTCATGGGAGGCGCACACTCCCCATAAAAAGGGACATAAATGTTGTTTATGTTGCTGTTCGTCAGTTTTGTTTGTTGTGTTACTTTGTGCTGAGCAGTGAGGTTAGTTAGAGTGGATCTGCATCTACCATAAAGTGAACAGCTATGGCTAGTAGTGACCTCGCCTGCTATCCCTGGCTGTCTTGTGTGCCTTTCTGCCGATGTTTCAGTAAAAGTGCACTTCTTGCACCACAACTATGGCCTCCCTTGTGTTTTAATCCATGTGAATGCCTCAGTATTTGTGTGGGTTCATGTACCAAAACAATGCCATAACTCACTAGTACTGGACATTTTCTAACCTCTCTTTATCCCTCACAATTAAACATGCTGTTTTGTTACAGTCCCTTTAAGACTGATGTATGTAAATTATATCTGTTCTCATTGGCTCCCCTGTGTTGCGCCTCATCCAAAATGCAGTCCAGGCTGAAACATTACTTATAACAACCAATATCCAGTTTCACAGCCCAACTGAATATAAAAACTGTGCTTCTCTCTGCTTTCCCCTCTCATTACTCAAGATTTATACAATAGGCTGAGGAAAAACAAAAAAGTCCCAGCCTTTATGATTTCCAATTTATGAAAACAAATCATTTAAGTTTCTTTGCCCACTCTGTCTCTGGCAGATAACTTTTTCCCCTCACATGGGAAATAAACCTTTTCCACAAAAGAAAAACCATATATTTATAATAATTACTGAGACATTAAGCATTTGTAATATCATTCCTCAAAGAAAATATGGAACCAAAAGCATATTACACATGGTGGTGTTGTTAATACAAACATTTATTTTCCTTATTGAAATCCCACTCAGAGCACTGTTAAGTACCACATGCTTAATAAAACTCATCCATCTGTTTCATAGAGTCCCCAGGAGGCACCTGACGCATGCAGCTCACTGCACACACAATGTAGTGCCCTGTATTCACCATATTCCTTCTGTATTTTTTCAACCAAAACATTTAAGCCGATTAGGAGGACAGAGTTTTGGCAAAGCCCTGAGCCTGACAAAAAACTCAACCAAGTAAGTTATGCTGGAAAGTGAGATATCTTAAGAAGTGAAGACTTTTTCAAAGAAGACCTTGAAAGTAAAAGATCTGGAAGACTGGGGGCAAGAGAAAAGAGTGGTAAATTTCCCTTTAATATGCTGGCTGCTGCTCAGAGTTTTATTGAGGAGAAGGAAGACATGGACCAAATGATCCAAGCCATTTGTAGAACTCCTCCTTGACTCGCCTTAGTTATTCTGTTTCAGAGAACAGACGTGTAATACCAAGCACCTACAGACTAACAATGATACTGCACACAAAGCCTACCATGCAGAGATACACTGTTTATTTTGGTTAAGAGTTACCTTCTTTTATTTTGCTATACTATTCAAATGCAATTATTATTATTATTAATGCATATTGAATTACAGACAATTATGCAACGATAACCATTTGTATTTATGGTCCATTTACATTCTTTATTGACAGCTTTGACTCTCACTTCTGACTTTTTCAATACACACAACAATCCACTGGCCAAATCTGATTTTTTAATAGCAACAGGTGTTTTGATGACGTAATCATAAAAGGTCGGTTCCTGCATGTGTTTATTGCTGTTCACATAGTCGCACAAAAAACAAATCTGTGTCACAAATGAAGAACAGGATCTAATTTGGGCCACTTCTACCTGCAGTGTGAACCAAAAGAAGGAGCTACACTTTTGCCCTTCTACAACACTCTTTCCACAGTTTGAGATAACTTTGCGTTGCTTTCTTGAGTGTTTGGCATGAGCATGGGTGTCAACGTCTAGAGAGAGTGATCCTTATATTTACAGCCTCCAAACTGTAAAGCTATACTTACATAGTACATTTCTACCATCAAAATCATTAGTAACAGCAGTTTACCCAGTTTTGCCTATAATATATTTCCCATATAGAGACACATGCATTTCAGTTTCATTCAGCATAAAAAAAACCATTTCATGACCATTTTCATACATCTTCATATTTGGTTAACCCACTTTACATGTACTTATTGTGTCTGTATGGACTGTTTATCATACTAATTATTTCATACAGAATCAGAAATTTGTTTTTACTTTATTTGACAGTTAAAAGCTAAACAGTCTCTCACAGTTAAATACACATACAAACACAGTCAAAAAGAGTCAGAGAGAGAGAAAGAGATTAAGGGAGTTTTCACACTCGTCTCCAATTCTTGAGTCTGCACCTAGAATTGATTCTGGGCCCATTTGGGGAGGGGCTCACCATTGCTGGTTTGCTTTCACATACAAAAATTCCATACGTCAGTTTTCTGCACACAGATTAGCATAAAGGTAGGCACTAACTCCATCCGTTTGCTTTTTATTATTTTCCTGTCCAGGGTTCTTCCCCAAAGACCGCTAGGATAGGCTCCAGTCCCCCCGCGACCCAGAAGGATAAGTGGTTTAGAAAGTGTGTGTGTGTGTGTGTGTGTGTTTACTTTTTCAGATATACAGTGGAGTTACATGGCTAATGTACCAGTAAACAGAGGTAAGAGCCATCCTGAAGCCTGCACTTTGTCTATACTTTTGTCCATTTTTACAAATAAAAGCACATCAAAATTATGGACAATTATGATTGCTACTACCTACACTAAGAACTTTTCCACTTACCATTCCCCTGAAATATTCCCTGATAATGAACTTAAAACTTAAAATCATGATCAGTGAGCGATATTTACTCAAAAAAGTAATCCGTTAGCAATCACGGATTACTTGTCTCAAACTGTAAAGGGATTAATTTGCTTATAACTTTACTTCCTGAGAAAGGTAAACTCACTCCTTTTTACTTTGCTTCCATTTTATGCTCAAAAACCCAAACACATCCATAACAACTGGAATACAAGAGGAAATTCAATAGACCTCTCAGTACTTTATATACAACCCCATTTCCAAAAAAGTTGGGACGCTGTGCAGAATGTAAATAAAAATAGAATGCAATGATTTGCAAATAATGTAAACCATATTTTTAAAGGAAAATACTACCAAGACAATATATCAAATGGTGAAACTGAATGTTTTATTGTTTTTTTGAAAAATATAAGCCCATTTTGAATTTAATGACAATAACACATTCCGAAAAAGTTGGGATGGGGGCATGTTTACCACTGTGTTTCATCACCTCTTCTTTTAACAACACTCTGTAAGCGTTTGGGAACTGAGGAGACCGAGTGCTGTAGTTTTGAAAGTGAAATGTTTTCCCGTTCTTGTTTTTCCCTGTTCAACAAAGGATTTCAGCTGCTCAACAGTTCGGGGGCTCATTTGTTGTATTTTTCATTTCATAATGCACCAAATGTTTTCAGTGGTGACGGGTCTGGGTCAGGTCAGGTCAGTTTAGCACCCAGACTCTTTTAATACGGAGCAATGCTGTTGTAATACATGCAGAATGTGGTTTGGCAACGTCTTGCTGAAATAAACAAGGCGTTCCCTGAGAAAGACGTCGTCTGGATGGCAACATATGTTGCCAAAACATGCATATATTTTTCAGCATTAATGGTGCCTTCACAGATGTGCACGTCACCCATGCAATGTACCCCTGTACCATCATGAATACTGGCTTTTAAACTGTGCACTGATAACAAGCTGAGTGGTCTTTAGCTCGGAGGACACAGTGTCCATGACTTCCAAAAAAAACTTCAAATGTTGATTTACTGGACCACAGGACACTTTTCCACTTCCCCTCAGTCCATTTTAAAAGAGCTTGGGCCCAGAGAAGGTGGCAGCATTTCTGGATCCTGTTTATATATGCTTTCTTCTTTGTGTTTTAGAGTTTTAACTTGCATTTGTGGATGCAGTGATAAAGTGATAATATAAGTGATAGTTTTCACCAACAATGGTTTTCAG